AAAAAAAAATGACTTTTTAGAAATTAAACCCACTGTTAAATTTCAGGATGAAATTGTTTTTATGTTAAGCCTGCCTTCAACTCGACAATGTCTTAAATTCTAGGTTCTTATACGCGGGGTTTTGTTGTAATAGTGAACATGGTTAAACTAAGGAGATTAGGAATCACCATGCTTCAGGAGGAGCCGACGGGGTCTRTTCTTCWRAATAACTGTTCCTAGTGTACAATTTTTTTCCTGGGAAAGGGTCGGAATTTCGAATTCCTTTTGAAATAWTTTTGCTYCTTGCAAACKTTTTTAAGSTMAAAAAGGCTTATATAACGYTTTTTTGGTCAAAAACGGCTTAGGTTTTTTTAGTTAGGAAATATTTATTTTCCTGGCAAAAATTCTTAGAAAGTATTCCTTGCCTGGAGAGTTCTYTTTTCYTGAATTTCTTCCTGGCARCCAGTTGTGACTTATAKYTGGCTGGGACAAAAGAACAGATACATTTCTCCCAGGAACCCGTCTCGGCTCCTCCTAATGCTTTGCTGCACAAAATGGCGTTGCTGTACATTGCCTATATGCACGCAGCAATTCTGTCATATATCAACATTTTTATGAATCTTCAGTAGTTTGCTGTTTGATTCATCGATAATACATTCTGGTCTATGCGATATGTTTTTAACCCTATTCAGACTGGGCTTTTTTTTTCAACCATTTTAACGATTTATAATTCATTTTAATAATTTGCCTACAATTCCATAGAGAATGCTGCAATATCATCTGTTTATTATTGAAATGACTTAAAAATAATATTTTTGTAATTTTTAATTGATCACTGTTCTATATGACGTCACAATAACGTCATAGATATCAGGTAATTTTTATAAATTATATATCTAGATCTAGATAACCAGTTAAATATCATATTTAGGCGTTACTGCTCTCCTATGATGTTCTTGTGGTTCGTTTTGTATCCATGGTAACAGTTGTGACGTCATAATTGTGATGACGTCATTTCCTATATTGTCTTTGTCGTCTTTGAATAATTTGACTCCAAATCTCACTTTTTTTTGTCTACATCGTTTTTTTATGGTAAAATTTACAATTTGAGAAGTTTTTGAAGTTAAACAATGAATGAGTTGCCGGTCCCCAGTCCTCCTCGGTATTTGCAATGCATTTTGGGTATGCCAGGGGGCAAACAAGAAGAGTTCGGATATGAAATGTATGTCGTGTTTATGTCCTTTGCGGTTTCAGTGCTTTTTACTGCGCTCGAATTGGAAATTTTGGTTTGAAAATCATATAATATGGTTCAAGGAATGTTCCTGCTTCGTCTTTGTAAGTTTTTCTTGCTTAATATGTTGWRGATGATAAAATTACTCGCATTCTTTTTGAAGTGTATTGTGAAATGTACACATATTCGATCTATCGATTAGGTAAAGTGAACAAGTATCTAATGGACATTTACGTGTAGATATTTAGGAAATTGCACAACAGATAGGCAATAAAACTATTTAACTCGAATATCTGTGTGTGTTGAGTACGTTTCTCCGAAAAAGTGCAACGAATATACAGTCTTTAAAATATGCCTCGCGGTGACCACTGTGCTGTTTGGGGCTGTGATAACGATCGTAGGTATCCCGAGAAACAGGTTATCCTTCCACATGTTGGGACTTTAAGGTTCTATTCGCCTTTGTCAAAAGAAGATCTCACTTCATGGGGAAAAAAGATCATGAGAGATAAATTCAAAGTAACATATAGCACTAAAGTATGCAGTAATCATTTCAAGGCTGGTTATAGACATGGTCAATGTCGAACTCCGACTCTTWACATGCGAGGGTACGAGAAAAAAGATTCGAAACCGGCAAGGCCGCCACCAAAAGTGAGAATTTCAACTACAAGAAAAAGAAATCTTGCAAAAGACTGCACTTTAGATAAGGGCGAGTTGCCACAAACGTGTGATGAAGTTGAATTTGAACCCATGCCTTTAGAAGTACCACCACCTAAAAAATTAAGTCCAGAGGCTGAAAAAAGAAGGTATTTTATTGAACAGGCAASAATTCCAACGAACTGTTTCCGATATACAGGAATAAGTAGGCCAAAGCTTGATTTGATTTTTACATTTTTACGAGAAAAGGCTAATTCTATTAGTTATTGGAGAGGTTGTAAAGATACAGTCAAGCCACTTAACAGCACAAAGAGAAAAAAARTCACTAATGAAAAGAGAATCCTGTCAAAGTGGGAAGAGTTTATCCTTACCTTGGTTAGATTAAGAAAAGGCTTTGATGTTSACTTSCTGGCTGACACCTTTAGCATTTCTGCTGGGCATGTTTCCAGAATATTTAATACATGGGTTATTTTTCTCTCCGAAGAACTRTCATTCTTAGTGCCCTGGCCAAGTAAGGCTCAAATAAAAAAAAGCCTACCAAAAAGATTCAGGAGTTTTGCGAATGCCCGAGTTATAATAGATTGTGTTGAATTGTTTCTCCAAAAGCCAAAATTGCCAYCCAGTCAAAAAGTCACTTGGAGCAACTACAAACATTGGAACACTGCTAAATTGCTTGTTGGTATTACACCAACAGGTGTTATTTCATTTATCCCACCTCTATGGGCAGGCAGCATTAGTGACAAAGAAATTGTAAGAAACAGTGGACTGATTGACTTACTAGAAGAAGGAGATGCAGTGATGGCAGATAAAGGGTTTTTGATACGTGATTTACTGACATTCAACAAAGTGCACCTCATTTCCCCTGCTTATTGTAGAGGACCAAGATTATCTTCGAGAGGGACAACACACACACGCCGAGTCGCCTCTTTGCGTACACATGTGGAAAGAAACATACTGTCACTCAAACATTTTAGAATTATTTCAGGTGTCATTCCTCTGCTTTTGAAACCTATGCTAGATAGAATTGTGTTTTTATGTGCTGCTTTATCAAACCTTAGGAAAAGGAGCATCAAAGATGATTAAAATAAATTCAATTTCTTGATTTGTAATCAAATTGTGATACTAGTCAATTTCATCAAGTAATTTTAGTTGCTCAATCAATAATATATACCTGTTGTTATTTCTATAACTTGCTCAATTCAATTATATTTTACTATTCAATTTTGATTTAATTTATTTACATTATTCACAGTAATTACAATATGGTAATAATACAATTTCATTACATAATTATACAAGAGCAGCTATATATATAATAGAGAGAAGAAGGCACTGGCTTTTTGTTCAATTAATACTTATTATATTAAATTATGGGAATGTACTACAACCAAAGGAGCTAAATTGCTTTCGAGTTGCTTGCCGTAATTGTTGGTCGCACTAGTTAGTTGACTTTACATATTTTCCATTTCCAAATGATTTTGATAAGAGAGCAGATTTTTAAAAAGTATTAATATTACAATAAAAAAGATATAAATTTATTAATGTTTCTTAACCTGCACTTGAAGTCTATGTTGACATGTCATATGTAATAAAATCATTATTAATTAGTTAACCTAGTTTTGTATAGTTCAATTAATTTATTTACAATAGATAAATTTTTATTTAGTTGATTGTTTTTCATATGGGGAAATAATGTTAATAGTTCTTGGAAGAGWTCATCATATAAATCATTATCATTATCTACTGTTTTACTAAATAACTGCCATGTTGAAAGTGTTGACTGCTTTGTAGAAAAATTCTTAGAGATACCACATCCTGAGTTGATAAATTTGTTTATCTCTGATATAGTTTCTTCTTTCTTGAGGAAGGTTATAATTTCAGTTAAGCTAAATTTGTCAGTGAGTTCATCATCTGTGGCCTCATCTTCTGAGCCTATACTCTCAATGTCAATATCAGATGTTTGTGAGTACATGTATTTAGCCTTCTTTGGAGGTATGGGAGAAGCTGAATCAGATTCAGAATAAATTGTACTCTCATTTGTAGCAGATGGAGGGATACATGTAGCTGCACTGACTGAATTATTAGTAGGTGAAACATTTGTAGGTAGGGGAGAGGTCTTATTTGTATCAGTTGGATGAGCTGTACTATCATTTGGAATAGATGAAGGTATAGCATTTACAGCACATGTAGCATTGTGTTCTTGACATTTGTTGTCTGTCTTCCCTGTTATTGTTCCTGGTGATGTATTTATGAGAACATTTAGTAAAGCAGAAGGAATTATATGATTCTTATAAAAAGACTCCACCTTGGTTATTACAGTATTCCAGAAAGTAGGGTTAAATGGAATTTCAATAATATGTATTCCTTTACTTGTATATGTTACAAAGTCTCCTTTTTTCAGTCCAGATACTGCCATTCCTGTCTGAATTTGGAAGTAATGCAAGTGATTTTCTTTTAACCTATAAGTGCCATTTTCATCCAAAGTTCCTCCAACAGTATCCAGAAGAAATGCTTCTTTGGGATTCTTATCCTTCGCAGTAAATGGGCACTTGATTTCTACCACAGTGTTTTCACAACAAGTGCAATTTCTAATTCCATCAAGACTAGCTGCTAACCAGGAATGATCATCACTAAGTAACAGACCTTGGTCGTCAAGCTTAAAATTTTTATGTTTTCTTGAATACAGTTTACTATAACAAAATTTGGCATTGAATTCATTGTCAATTCCATATTTAATGGCATCTGGGTATGGCCTTGTATCTTGCTTTGTTTTTGTTATAAAGTTTTTAACTGTTAGAGAGACATCAGTATCTTTCTTTCTTTCCAATGTTT